GGGGGAAGGGAATAGACTAGAAATAGAGGAGAAGACACAAATGGGCAGATTCTTTAAGTTGATGTCAAGACTCTATTGGTGAGGGTTCAGTTGGGAAAACAGTAATCACACTAGGTATTTCAAACAGGGGGTTTAATACAGGGGAGTTTTCAATATGTTGGAAGGCTGAAAGAGCTCTAAAGGGAAGCTAGGCTTGCAGGAAGGATTTTAACTCTGCCTGGCGATTTCCCTGGGAAAACAGTAATCACACTAGGTATTTCAAACGGGGGATTTAATACAGGGGAGTTTTACAATATGTTGGAAGGCTGAAAGAGCTTTAAAGGGAAGCTAGGCTTGCAGGAAGAATTTTAACTCTGCCTGGCGATTTCCTCTACATCATGTGACTCACACAAAAGTTCTAAACCAGTAGGGGGGCAGTGAGACTACATGGTCGTAAGAGGTCACATTAAGTGCTAATGGATCTGGGAATGAATAGACATAAAAGTGAACATGTAACTTTGTTTCCATGATGAGTAAGGGACTGTTCTGTATCCTCCTAACAACTGTATGAGGAAGACACTGTTATTATGTCATTTGACAGACTGGGAAACCGAGTTGCAGAAAATCAAGTAACTCGTCCAAGATGACACTTACGAGCTGTCTGGGCTGGGTTTCACACACAGGCACCTCGGGGCCAGAGCTCATGCTCGTTACCACTGCACATACTGTCTTTCTGAAGAATCAAAGGTGGTTCTGATTGGGACATACTGTTGTCAGTGGTAGCAATAGGAGAGTTAATTTAGGCAGGTTCTCAGTCTCAGCTTTAAGATGGATGAAATTTCCAGCATGGAATGAAGAGTACGGATGGTTTCCGAGAGTGAGGCAGGGCAGGAAAACAGAACGACTTTCCAACTCTGTCTATGGCATGTTCCCAAGAGTGTCAGTGATAGAAATGGAATGGAAACTGCAGAAAAAGAAGGGAGCTGTAGACACAAATATAGCTTCTTTGTTCTATGTTAAAATATCCCTCCTTTCATGAAGTAGACAACAACTACTTATAATGGCTGTCTGCAGGCATTGCCATTAGATGATTGAGTTCTTAATTTCTTTTTCTTTTCTTTTCCTTGCAATTCCCATGTGTCTGATTGTATCAGAGGTTGTAGTTTAGGATAAGATTTCTGTGAGCTGTTTCATTGATTCTTGAATAAACCTGAAGAAATAGATTTATTTCTAAAATCCTAACATTATAGTTTTGTTTTGTTTTGTTTTGTTTTTGTTTTTTGGAATAAAAATGGGGTAAAGGTTAGGGGAGCTTTAATGTTGACTGGCAGTTCTTTTTTTCACTACCTTCCTATCTTGGCTACAAAGCTGTAAGAACATTAGCCTTTGGCTTTAAACTTTCATGATGCCCCTTCATTGATTGTCCCCTCTTCTCCCTACACATATTTCTTCTTCAGGAGTGCAGTAGTTGCGGCATGGAAGAGTATTAAGAGTGATGAAGATTTGGGGTTGAAATTAGGATCAAACAGAAGGAATATGGAAATTTATTGGGTGGCGGATGGGGCTTATTTGGTCAGAGGGATGTCAGTCTGGTTATATCACGTTTCCTTTGCAAGCTTTCCTGGTGTCCCAGATGGTTTCTGTGGATTTGGTAACCTAGCAATGGGGGTTTGGGGCATGGAGAGATTAATGAGGCAAGATGGTTTTAAGATCTTCTTCCTGATTTAGTGATCACATGACTAGAATGAGGGTGGTGTAGCTCTTCATCTAAAATAGAAGATATTGAATGGATGTCTGTGTATCAAATATATGGCACATGCATTGCTGCTACTATTCCCTTAGGTGCCAGTCAGTGAAAGCCGATTGTTAAATATTCAGGAACTCTGTGAACTGTTTATTAAACTTTCGGTAGCTTGAAATTGGTTATGGTGGGAGTTTTTATACCACACAAACTGGCAAACAATGCAGAGGGCTCTTTTCTTTCTTCCAAAGAGGCAATTATCAGGATACCACTGTGAATGCCATACTCCAGATAGACATGGCTGCTCATCACAAAGGTGCTCTTTTCTGTGCAGCCCAGATTTGGATTCAGAATCCTTCTCAACACACACCGCTTCTGACAGAACACACAAGTAAATAGGACTGAGTGCATGAGATGAGCAGTATTTGCCATCTTTGCTATAAACAAGCTTTTGTAATTGTCCCTGGTATTAGCTGTTAGAATCTTACACTGGGGAAGGTTGCTTTGGGTTTGACGCTTTTGCTGCTTTTAATGATTTTTGACACGAAAAAGTCAAAGCATCTTTCATAAAGAAGCCACAATAATACCTAACTCTAGGTTGCCCTGGATTAAAGCATAATCAGAAATAGGTACTCAGCAACATCATTAATTTTCTTCCTGTTTTTTTTTATGTGTATGTATCATACAAAGACCCTAATCATGCATTTGGATGTTCATTAATTAATTAGCTAAATGAACATTTACTGAGTCTCTGTTATTAGTCACATATTCCCTTACAAAGGGTTATATGGAGAAGTCAGTTTAAAGCAGGAATAATCATAGATCACTGTTTAGGACTTTTGTGGGTCAGGAAACCAAAGAGGCGGGGATGGGTGCTTCTGATTTACGTTACCACAGAAGTCATGTATTCTCACTTCCGTGTCATGAGGTTGAACTCATGGCAGCTGTTTGAAGGCTTAACCGTGGCTGAAGGATCTCTAAGGTTGCTTACCCACGTGCCTAGCAAGTTAGTGCTGGTCAGATGGTTCCTTTCCACAAGGACCTCTCCACGGGATTGCTGGGGTGTCGTTGGTCATAGTGTTGGATTCCCCCTGATCAATAAGTGTAATGGTAGGTGCCAGAGATATTGAGTTCTTCATGTTGGGAAGTGAGGCAGTAGAGTAAAGAGGACTTTGCACTGTCTGTTCACTGCTCACACAGTGCTCTTTGCCAGGTATTGCTCTCTTCATTTAAGGCTCTGATGAAGGGGAACCTCTTTGGAAAGTCATTCCTCATGAACACCCATCACCTTTTTATTCCTGTTTGGCTTCATAACACTTATCACTGTATAATACAATATTACATATTTCTTTTTTGTTATCTTTCTCTCTCATTAGAATAAAAACTTCTTCAGAGTTTTTCCTAGTGCTTGGAACGGTGCCTGGATATTAATGTTATGTGTGAAAAGATGAATGGGGAAGAGTACTGACTCTGTAATGAGATTTGGACCTGGATTCAGGCTCTGCTATTTATTAGATCAAATTATTTAACTTCTGCACACTTCAATGTTGTCAGCTAAAAGACAGAGTTAAAAATATATACCTCTTGAAGTTATTGTGATTTTAAAATGACATAATGTATGTAATACCTAGCATTGTGTGTGCTTGCACATAGCAAGAATCTATGAAATGTTAGCTATTGCTATAACTGTTGTTATTACTATGATGATGTACTGAAGCTATATATCCCTATATAAACTATGTATATGCACTGTAGATATACCATGATGATATAGAGTGAAGGGCCATTGGGCAGACAGCGAAGTCATTGGTATGGATCAGTGATTGGGCTAATCAGAGCCTTTCTTAGGCTAAGCTCCTATGATATCTCACCTCTTAGTTCTGTTTTCTTTCTTTCTTTCTTGAAGGTCTTGAACAGACTTAAGAGTAAATATGGCTCCCTGTACAGAAGAGACAATGTGATCCTGAGTGGCACTCACACGCACTCGGGGCCAGCGGGATATTTCCAGTACACCGTGTTTGTCATTGCCAGCGAAGGATTCAGCAATCGAACTTTTAATTACATGGTCACTGGCATCATGAAGGTAGGCAGCTGTTCTTTCCCACTGCCCAGTGTCTTAGGAGTGTGCTATGGAGATGGTCCCTATACAGTCTCCGTCTAAGCACAGTCCCCCCTTCCCTCTTCATGACCCCCTGGTAACTGGTCCTGAGCTGTGGGCTGGTAGCCTGAGGCACTTATTGGGAGAGGAGGACTCTGTGGCAGTAACTTCACACAGTCACCTAAAGAGACAGAAAGCAATTTGTATGTGACCCTTACAAATTATAGGGCCCCACATGGTCTGTTCTTGCACGAAGTCACATAAAAAGACACCAGCCCATCAATGAACCAACATTACAAATAATTCCAATCTTCTACACCAGCTTTAGACTGACATGGTGCTCCTACCATACCCCCCACTTTTCTCCCACTCATGGTTTGGGTACATTTTGGTACTCCTCTCTCTCCTGTCTTCCAGTTTATTATTTTATTGCACAGGATCCTTGATAATGTTTTCTTCTTCATTCCTTTGCCTTTCAGGCTTAGTCTCTCTCTACTTTATCTTGTAAAGTCACCCCTCCATACCCCCAAATCCAGGGACCCAGTTGGTAAAAGCAGACATTTCTTTGCAACACTGTTTTTCAAACGGTGGCTAGCAACCTGTAAATGGTTTTATGAAATCAATTTCATGGGTTGCAATAAACATAAAAAATAAAACAAATAAAAAAAGTTGGAAAACACCATAGTGCATCATACACATTGTGACCTCTATTTTAGAATATATATGCTGATACGTATTAAGTTATGTTGGACACTGTATTGCTTACTGTGCTTCTCAGAGTTTGAAAAACTCTGTCTGAGAAGGTGGTGGGCTAGGGAGGGTGGGGAGAGGGGGGAGGGTGGAAATACCTACATGTTGTAGGAGTCGGGTCTCCCATTTGGGCCATCTGAACTGGCAGACGTGCTGACCCACCAGCGGGTGCTGGTGGGCACCGTGCTTCTCCACACGGAGCACTCTTCCTCTCTCAACCCCGAAGGCCAGTCTGTTTCCTTCCAAAGGACACCAGCCATGTGGTTCGCCAGCTTTCATCTGTAGTGGGAACAGACTGGAGACCAAGGAAACAATCCATAGGTCTCTTTTGTTTATATCGACGAAATCATCATCCCCAGTAGGATTTCCAACTTGACAACTCTCTTTTTTTCAAAACCCACAGAGCATTGAGATAGCACACAAAAATATGAAACCAGGGAAGATCTTTATGAATAAAGGAAATGTGGATGGCACGCAGATCAACCGAAGCCCCTATTCTTACCTTCAAAATCCACTGGCAGAGAGATTGAGGTGAGGAGGGTAATTATCACAGTGAAATCATGTGTTTCCTTTAGGAGAGAGAGACAGATTCTAAAACAGGGTTGTTTACTTGACGAATATGATGGGATCCTAAGAAAGGATCAGAGCTAAAATAATTTAAAAACATGTTGATAATCTAAGACAAGCAGAAATAAAAAGTAAACATAGAAAACACACAGCAACCCGTCTTCCTACTTTGAGGGCTGTGAGAATCAGTGTGAATATTTGAAGGACTCCTGCCTGTGGAATCTTGACATAACTGTGGTTTCATCTTAGCTTTGTCACTCCTAGCTGGGTGACCTTTAGGATATATGGTGATGATGATAGGTGATTCACTTATCTTTATTTATTGGCTCACAGTTTCTTGGTTTGTTAAATGGAGATAAAAATGTGCATAACAAGTATTTGTTAAATTAATGAGTAGCTCTTTTTATTATGTTATTCAGAAGAAATCATCTTAGTCCAAGAGACTGTGGCAAGAGAAAGGAGATAACTGAGTAAAAATACTGAAAGAACCAGAAATAAAATGAGAATAATTGAATGGAACAATTAAGGGAGATGATTAGTTTTTTTAAGTGATGAGTCAGGTTTGCAACAAAGAGGGTACTTGGCTACTAAGGCAACGTAAAATAACATCTCAGTCAGTTTGACCACTTGACATTTCACATTCGTCTGCAACAGACAAAGAGTGAAAGGACCTAAAAACATTGTAAGTCACAGGTCCTGAACGCTTTTGATTTTGCGTATTTCCTGCTAATGGAATCTGAGTAGAAATTTCAAAGAGAAATCCTTTTTGAAAGAAATACATGTTACATAATAGTGTGTATATTACATAAACATGTATATTTCACCTCCAGCGAGCCAACCCATTGCCCCTAGCTCTGGTCACAGTTGCAAGCCATTTCTTCAGCTGAGGACTGAGGTGCAGACCCCAAACTACCGCATGTCCGGGAGCCTTGCTTCCTGAGAGGCGTGTTGGTTTTTGTTTCTGTGCCAGCTTCTGCTGTTTGTCAGACATGGCGCCCAGGTTCTAACATGAAACTGACTACATTTCTTTGTCTTGGTGACTAGGTATTCTTCGGATACAGACAAGGAAATGCTGGTCTTGAAAATGGTAGATTTGAATGGAGACGACTTGGGCCTTATCAGGTACTCTGTTTACTTTCTTTTTTTTTCTGTGTGAATAACTTTCCTTAATTAAAGGATGGGGTGGGGAAGAGACTGGAATAGTGGAAGCCGGGGCCAAGAGTAAGCTGAATGGTTAAGGATTCAGACTCAGGAATCAGACACATCTGAGTTGCAGCCGTGGGCCCTGTGGCAAGGTTCTCAACCTCTCACCTGCCACAAGCGCTAATAAAAGATGATATAAACGGCGGATCTGGGCGAAGAAGTTCAACACAGCATCTGGCATTTGACATAAAGACTCAGCGAATGTGAGTGCTTATGACTATATCAAGATCTTATATGGGGACACCTGTAATACCGTCAACAATAAAAAATACATTTAAATAAAAAAATAAAAGGCCTTACATGTGAAACTTCTATGATGGTAGACAATTAGCTCTTCGTAGATGAAAAAAACAATCTGACCAACTAGGAAAATGAATATGGATTTGAGGTTATTCACCTGTTTTCCTGAAAGGATCAAGGGAAGCCTAGTGTAGGGCAATGCGAATTAGTGATGAAGCAGAACTGAGACCACCTAAAGGAAGTAGATGATGTGAAAGCACAGCTTAGCACCGATTGATTTTAGCACCTGTTTTATAAGCAAGGAAATATGGGGATTTTTTCTTGAAAAATAAGGCACTTACATTCATAGGTGATTTTGCTCACAGCCATTGGACTGACTCAGGCTGGGTAACAGTGCAGACACCTTGACGTGTAGACTTCCAAATGACGCGGAAATGCCCTAAGAAAGTGTATGCTTGCACTTGGGTTTGCTCTGGGCTCTCATCCTTCTTAGCTCTGTTACTTAGGCCAAGTTATGTGACTGCTCTGTGTCTCAGTTTTCTTATGTGTAAAATTGAGGAGTAAAGGAAGTCCTTAAAAATGTTGATAATAAGTGTTAGTAAAGGTGGTGAGGTTCTGCCGGTAGAATTATGAAATATTTAAGTGAAAGGTTCTATGTGAGTAAAATGAACAGTAAATTAAAAGTAAGAAGAGGTGAAGATAAACATTAAAGACTATGACCCACAGTCATAGTTGGTAGAGAATAGCATGGTAAAGAGTTCAGGTTTTAGGTGTAGGCTTTAAGATTTGGGTTCAAATCCCCACCCTGCCACTTATTAACCCTGTGGCCTGGGGAAAGTAACTCCATTACTTACACCTCAACTATTCTATTTGAAAATGGGAATAATAATAACTCACAGGTTGTGCGACGATTAGATGAGATAATGCACGCAAAGCTCTAGTTTTGTGCCTGACACAAACAAAAGTTCAATCATTTTAGCTAAGAGGTAAGAAATAGAATAATATTTTACCTCTTCTAAAAACTCCATTATTGGCATATCAGAGTGCTTAGAATTCTTAGCATTGGAGTTATTTCTTTGGGTTTAAAGTGAGGACACTAAAAACTCCCTGATAAGATAAACTTTATTATATGGGTTGACGTAATAGGACTCATCTCTTACAATAAATTTATCTACTGATTAGTTGCTACCTGGCATTTAACTCAATAGACTTTCTAAATGTCAGGTATACTTGGCTTATGTGATGATGAATAAGTCATAGCCCCCATCTTCAAGGGTCTTGTAGGCTAGTTGGGTGATTGTGACCTGAAGCAGAAATAACTTTCCATTGTTTTTATAACCTTTTTTGTTATCCTTGATGTAATCGCTCCTCCAGTTGCCTCTTGTTGAATAGTGAAAGTTGCTCTTTGAACACATTGAAAATGATCCAAAAGAGAGTCAAATTTGGGTGCCAAGGAACTCAGCCAGCACATGTAGGTGCCTGATGTTAGAATCCAAAGTATGAGAAATTTGGAAGCATAGAACCTCAGGTTTTCAGAAAACAGAGGTGATCTAGTTCAAAATTCAGCTAAGTCCTAGAAAGGTGACATGGCCTGCCCAGTGCCACGTCGAGACTCTTCTTCATACTGAAAACAATGTTGAAGTTCATCATTTACTCCTTGCTACTTTCATTTTTGTTTCTATTTCTTTGTTCAACAAGTTTGCCCTAGGCGCCTGCTGGGTGCCATGCCACACTTCCCAGTCCTTGGAATAATGCATTTCCTGGTCTTGAAATCAGAAATCAGATACCTCAGAATCACCTTGGAATCAAATACCTGTATTCTCTGCCCTTTGAGCAAATCCCCTAAACTCTGTGAGACTCCGTTTCTACACTTACCAAATGTAGATTTAGCATCTTCTCTCTACATAGAGACTATTCATGTATTCATTCATTCAATATTGTGGAATATATGTGTCATTAGCTGAGCTTCTATTATAGATACACTGATGAGCAAAAATTGATATAGTTGCTACCTTTACAGGACTTACAGTCCACTGGTAGAGACAAAAGGTATTCAAATAGTCATACAAATACATATATAATGATAATTGGGTTAAGTGTTAAGAAAGGAAGGCTTGTAGAGCTACCTTAAAGAGACTTGACATGGTCAGGGAGACTGGGAAAGGCAGCCCTGAGGAAGTGACGATAGAGCTGAAAACTGAAGGAAGGGGAGGAATTAACCAGCAAAATGGGGAGTGGAAAAGGACTTTTAACACAGATGGACAAGCATGTGCAAAAGTCCTTGTTGAGGCCCATTTGAGGAACTGATAAAAGGTCTGCGTGGCTAAAGTGCAAAGGATATTGTGAGATAAAGTTAGAGGTAGAGATTAGATACCAGGATAAAGATTTTGATCTTTATAATCAAGGGGAATGGAAAATCATTAAAGTGTTTTAAGTTGGAGTTGAGAGTTGAGAGGTCTTGAAGGGCTGGGAGGAGTGATGATGGCTTGAAGAAAGAAATAGGATTATGTGCATGAAACTATTCTATACTGTTAAGTCCTCTACAAATACTAGACCACTATTTGCTCCAATTGATCTAAAGGAAATATTTTTGCCTGATACTGCCTTATGCAAAAACAGT